TTTATATAAAGTTGTTTACGATACATTTATCTAAAACTTTCAATACAGGATTTGAGAACAGTTTTTATGTATAATAAAATCATATTTAATTTTATTGACTCATGCAAGATATATTTGTTAATATATTGAAATATGAACTTTCACAGAATATACAAAATACATTGACGTGTTACAAGAGACGTTAATTGACGCGCAAGCGTTGATACTTCGCCTTGTAAACGGATACAAAACCGGATCCAAGCTCGATGAAAGTTGGCGAAATAAAATGAATGAAGTCATAAAAGAGGTAGTTATGTTGTAACTATAATTAAGAACATTATATACATAGCTGTCGCCCGTGACTCCATCTCGGAATTTAAAAAAAAGACATTAGTAGCCTATGTGTTCTTCCAGATTATGTTCTACAGGGATCCATGCAGCTGTTCTAGAGATATCTTCAAACAAACATCCATCAAAACATTCGCATTTATAATATTTGTGTGATTTATTTAAAAGCCCAGTAAAAATGTCTTATAATAAGGTGGTCACAACAAGAACTGTAGTTTGGTCTTATATTATGTATTAAAGACAAATGTTATTTCTTACTAATATTATAAATGCGAATGTTTAGATGGATGGATGTTTGAAGATATCTTCAGAACGGCTGCATACATCTCGCTTAAATTTGGCATAGATGTAGAGCATAGTATGTTAAAACACATAGGCTATTAGGTTCCTTTTTAAGACAGCTAGTTAATAATAATAATTTCTATCTTTTCGTTTTCATAGTATCAAAGTTTCGTGAACAATTTCGTGAACGACACGCCTGAAATGAACCAGTACTTCTTCGATTTAGCCAAGCTGATCGAGACTGAGTTGCCTGTCTTCAAACCAGCTGCCGCGGAGTCTAAGATCTCTATTACGGAGCCGAAATTAAGTGAAATAGGTAAGTAATTACTGAATGTGACATATTTATAATGCTAAAGTTTGAATGGATGGATGTTTGTAAGAAGGTATCCCAAAAACGGTTGTATGGATTTGGATGAAATTTGGTATATATCTAGAACTCGTAGAATTTTTAAAAATATTTTTAATTACGCTAGACGAACTCGCGGGAAAATCCTAGTAAGTAATATTCGTAATAATAATTAAAAAACATAATAAAAATTTGTTCATCTGTTTCGGCGCTACGATACCACAGACAGACGTACACACAGACACGACAATCTTATAACATTACGTTGTTTTAGCATCAGGATTAAAAACATGCCTTAGTGTGGATAAATGGTCGATTATCTTACTTCTTACTAATATTACAAATGCTAATGTGTAGATGGATGGATGGATGTATGTTTGAAGATATCTCCGGAACGGCTCAACGTATCTTGATGAAATTTGGCACAGATGTAGAACATAGTCTGGAAAACTACTCATTTAGTATTTTTTTTAATTCCGCGCGGATGGAGTTGCGGGCGATAGCTATTTCGCTTCTTTCTTTTTTTGTATCCTCGATAATTTTTTTTTTGTATATTTAATTAATTTAATGTAAATAATATTCAAGGACAAACAGAGGACAGACCATGGTTCGATATGTTAGAAGGTAGCAACGCACCATTCGTAATGTACGGGGACATGGCTGATTTCAAACCGAATCTACGCAGAAATGTATTGAAGACATTAAAATCTACCAAAGAACCGCCAGACGAATGGGAACATTACGGTAAGATGGAACTAAAGAGTATAACAACAGTGGTAGAGCCCGCTTTAACATCTTCGTACGAATCGGCCCGGCTCGTCCGGTGAAATACCACGACCACACGGAAGACACGCGTCAAGTGGAAGTAAGTTAGTTTCGTCTCATTAGTGTACGTCCCGGAGGCCTAATTTAGTCCTCTTTCCATTCCCACCTTTTTTCTTATAAGGACAATGATTCGCTTATAGAAGTTTCTCGCTTATCCAGGTTGGACTGTATAGAAAGTATACGTTGTTTAGTAGTTTTTTTTTTATCTTTCAACAGTTATCAACGACACATTCGTAAAATCGCAATGCCCCAACGCGGGCCTAATTAAAGACGAATACCTCAAACTGTTGCCAAAGCCCGGGAAATGGGAGTGCTCCACCATACAGACTGACAGAGAGGTAAATATTTAAAAAGTAAAATTGTTTATATTGCTTATCTGAGCTGGTAAGAGAGACGCTGCCCTGCGGTTAATTCTGTCACAAAATATATAAAACCTCCATACGCGTAGAAAATGAAATAACGGCACTGATAAAGACGGGCTATAAGAGTAATATTTTGTGCCTTTTTGATTTCCGCCATTTTGACGCTAATGGTAGCGGTTTGAAGCGGTGATGGGGATTCAAACTAATAAAGATAGAATGAAATGTCACGTGACATCAACTGTCGTTTTAATTACAACGAATGAAAAGCTGTTATTTCCAAGCAATCACCTATTCATTCATTAAAAATGCATAAAAAATAACATAGATCCAGCCGTTGTTTTACCATTGTTTTTTTTTATAATATAAGGTGACAAATGTGTAATCGGCCAATTGAATTCGCTGAAATAGGGAAGCGCTTGCTGCCCATAGACATTCACAGATGGCGTTGCTTGTCTACTTTTAAATGTCATCTACTTCTATAAACTATGGAAGTGTAAACCACACAATTATTTTGTATCGTATTCCAGAGTAGCACAAGCCACCGTGTGACACAAGCCAGTGTCGATATACGTGGGAACATGGGCTCTATACTAAAAATAATGCAAGTATTTTATAGTTTCGTCTTTAAAATCAAACTAGCTGTCTCCTGCGACTTCGGTCACGCAGCATAAAAAAAAACTAAATTAGTTGTCTATGTATTTTTCCAGACTGTTTTCCATCTATGCCAAATTTCATCGACATCCTAGTAGCAGTTCAGGTTATAACTTCTAACAAACATCCATCTAAACATTCGCATTTATAATATTAGTAAGGTATATAAGTAAGATGTCAGGTTGTTTTTTTTTATTAGAGCGTCATCAGCGTACGGTCAGCCAGCAACAAGGGCGACTATTCTTGGAGCTAGGGACTCCATGGAGATTGCTTCCACAACTAAACTGGTCAGTTATATGTTGGTTCTCTGAAGTGATATACAGCAGTTTTGGTAACTTAAGTGTACTTAACCTTTAAAAAAATCGTGGGTTTCTACGACCAAAAATCTAAGTTGCAAACGTATCTCTGTTTTATCACGGGATGGCGATATGTTTTATATAGAGGTTTTGGTCTCAGAAACCAACGATTACTTGTCTTAATTATAAAACTTTTAATATTTGTTTTAGCGCGAAAAAGTTAGAAATTCGGTACAGAATAAAGTCGTCATAAACATTGGAAATAAACGGGTAAGAAATAAACAAAATTTTGTTAGTAATTCCGTTTTTCGCATGCTGTAATTTATATCACACAAAAATATTAATTTTCTAGACAACGAAGTTTGACGATTACCCAGACATAAGTCAAGATTATTCTGAAGAAGTCGAGACGATACCTAGGTAATAAACTAAATGATAATTTCATATCAATTTATTTATACTCATGGTATTAAATGAAGATCTTAGTTCCATCATGCGGTTCCTCTGGTGTTGCATATGTATATGGGTGTCGTTGATCACCTCGGTGTTCCCGACGCTCGTTTGCCCTCTTCTCTTAAAAAAAAAGCTAAAAAGTAAATCTTTGTATTATGTATTTTAAGCTAAAGTTCATAAAATTCTTCAAAAAAACTACGTTAAAAAAATTTGAGTTATTGGAACGGTGATAGTTATAATAAAAAGCTAAACTGAAAAAAAAGCTAGCTGTCGGTCACGATTCCGTTCGCGTGGAATTAAAAAAAATGTAGTGTTCTTCCAAGACTATGTTCTATATTTGTACCATAATTATGATCGATGATATGATTGAGCCGTTCTGGAGATACCTTCTTTTAAAATTTAGTTTAATATTTTCAGACAAGAAGTGTCCCAAGTTGAAGAAGATGAAATAATAGAAGAATCGTTTTCAGCATTGGGGTAAGTTTACATTTTTAACTGCGTTAAATCAATGTCTCTTTGTCTTCTATTCTACGGAAGCCATGTACCTGAACGGATTTCGGATCACGTGGTTAACAGTTTGATTCCATTCCACTATTGTAAACCATAGCAAAATCCTAGAGCTAAGTCGTAACGGTAAGAAATATTAGTAAATGAAGAAAAATCTGACATTTAAAAAAAATGTTGAGTTCTTAATATAATTTCGCTTGGCATAAAATCGGCAAAATTTCACTGAGGGCACCTTGAGAGAGAGAGAGAGAGGGAGGGAGAGAGAAAAACAATGTTAAAACTATTTATAATTCACCCAGGAGTATTCACAACGACAGTATGCAAGTTATTCCAAGTCACGTGCCAGATCAGGACGCCAAGATTAACTATGAGAAGGTTGATTATCTTATTTTACTTGATATATGCCTTAAGTTGAGTACAGATTAGACTTATATAACAGAACGAGCCTATGACATGTTCTAGTCTATCACTCTTTGGAAACTATGACCATTCGTAAGAACGTTACATTACATAGAAATGCTCGAGTGTATATTCACCTTTATGTATGTTGTGTTTAGCTCCTTTACTAAGTAACTAGGCTTTTGTCAAGTACGTTGGTTGCTTTACACTTCTTTAAACTTCGCTGATATTCCTAATTAAAAACACACTAAAGGTACGCGTACACGGCGCGCGACAGATTGTTGTACCTAGTACACAAGAATCAAACCCAGGTCCTAAGAATTACAACTTTGTTTCCCGTTGGACCGGTAGGCCTTCGGATTTACTTCCCATTGGGTCGTCAGCCACAAGTGTAATACTTAAATAATTTCAGGTGTGTCCAATGGAGGAGTGTCAGAGGATGCAAGTTGACTCGTTCATACGTTCTCTTCCGCCGTACATGCAAGCCAACCCATACATGCGCTTTGAGAAAACATATGAGGAATATGAACCATGTAGTCCTGGTAAGTATACACACAAGTACTAGGATAACATAACATACCAATAGATGCATACCTAATCTGGGCTTAAAAATCAATGCATTAACCGTGAGTTTCTGTTACCAAAACTTTTATATATTAAACATATCGTCATCTCCGTCATAATCGTTGACAAAACAGAGATAACAATATGTTTTGAACGAAGATTTAAGTCTCAGAAACCGACCGTAATTAATGATTAATTAAAATTTCCCTTACGACTTTAGTATAAAAACCCTTACTAATCAAATTATTTGAGTTTTTGTACTTTCAAGAACATTTAATAAAAAAAAAATTACAACCAGATTGATTTCACGGTTTACCTTTTTATCCAAATAAAAAACCTATACTTAATAATTTAACCAGAACAACTGGACATACTGAGACAGCGTATAGAGAACAAGAAGAGGAAATCCAAGCTGGATGTGACTGCTGGCGAGGAGTCACCTCTGCAGGAATGGGACCAGAGAAGCAACACTGTGGCCGCGCAGACATCCGCGTTCACACTACCGCCCTGCACATGTCCCGTTAACTCTACCGTTGAGGAAAACGTACATGGGATTGTGTACAACAGTATGTAGTTATTTTAAATTTTAACCGCCAAAATCTTTCTTTTTTTTATCTATTATTACTATGTTCCAGATTAATTTTGATCTTTAGTTATTTTTTAATCTAGTAAAAAGAGTCATTGGTTAGCGAGTTCAGGTACCAGGACCACAGCTTGAAGTAGGAGTAAATTGGGAAATTTCTCCTTATTACCGTAGGTTTATACCAAAACCTATATATGAAACATATCGTCATCCCTGTCGTTATCGTTGATAAAACAGAGATGACAGTATGTTTTAATGTTGGGTTTTCAGAAACCGTTCGTTAGTAATCTTTGGACTAATGAGTACGCTATTTTTAATTGGAAGGTACCAGGGGCACATAACGTTACAGTAGTTAGTACTTCATGAACTTGTGACTACACATGTGTTAATCAGTAGTTGTTTGGAAAACTATATAGCAATTTAGAGTAAACAATATTATTTCCAGTTGAAGATTTGCTGCCCGTGAAGCGAGCTATAAACGAAATCAACAAGAAATTCTTCTTTGACAGTACTATTGAGTTCAATAGATTCAAAGTGGTGGGACAGAATGGTGACAGCACAACGTAAGTTTAAATTTAAAGATGGCCGTTTACATTCTTTTGTTTCTTCATGATTGTTTTCGTTTTAATTCAAAAGAAATCGCTATTATATGTTTTTCGTACTATATTACTACTATTTTTCACTAGTTATACGCACAGTGTTAAAAAAACTTAGTAAGTAGCCTAAGTGTTCTTCAAGACTATGTTCTACATCTATGCCAAATTTCAACGAGATCCATGAAGCCGTTTTGGAGATATCAAACAAAAACATCCATCCAAAAATTCGCATTTATAATATTAAGAGGCACTAAATTCTATCACACCTTTTTATAGACATATGATGGAAAGAAAAAAAGACAACAGATTCTATGAAATACAAAATATGCTGAGACAACGACCGAGTTTGTGCGACATGTTGCCCAACAATGCACGATGAAAGCAAACATATGACCTGTTTATTCATCTACACAGTTATGCTGCCCTAATCCAATTCACTCTGACAATCGTAACAAGATTTATCTTGGATAGTCTTAACTTCAATTTCTTGTATCGATAGATATGTAATATATTGATAATTAATCTGAGGCAAAAAAAAGTAATAGAAAAAGGCCTTCAGAGTTCTTTTGTTCAAAATGTTCGAAAATCAAATTTCGATTAAACGTCAAAATAATATGACGTCATCGATAGATTATATTATCTATGCTTGTACTTTTGACAAAATCGTCGATTTTGACGAATTTGTCGAATCTTTATATTAATTTTGAAATTCGAATGCATTCATATTAAGGGCCTTCGCACACTAGAGACTCAGTCGGCGAATAGTGCGCTTAATATAAGCATGTAAATTGTGTAACGTGCGCATCTCCCATATATGCTCATACTGATTAAGCGTAGGATCAAATAATCGGACGCCTAAATCGCTAGTATGTGGGCCCTAAAATCAAACAGAAGCTTCGATTACGTAATATTTGAAAGAAACCAATAATTGTCGTTGCAATTTTATATATATTTTTTAAATATTAACAAAATAAAAAATAGTATAATTATAACAAATGTCTTATTTTAATATTAAAAAGAATAACATTAATTCGATATTAAAAGAAATATATCCTATAGTTGGTAATTAAATGTATTTAAAATTGAAAAAAAAGAGAAACCGTTGATTTTCACTGCCTACTACTTGAATGATAATTTCTTTAATTCGCTTAGAAACAGTAAGATAAATATTTCAATGGAAACCAATTTTTATCATTCTTTTCCATGTTCCTAAAAATAATGAAAATGTAAATTTTATCAACTATTTTAAAACATGTTTTTTTTATTGGTACAAAATATTTCTACGGACGATTTCAATTGAAAATTTGTCAAATTCTAGTATACTATTTAAATTTAGATCTAGATAGATTGAAAACTAGAATGTAACTATAGAAAAATCAGTTTCAAAAGAATCAATAGCTTTTGGAATTCTATTTAAGTATTTATTATAATACGCTATTAACTAAATTAAAAGGGACTAGATAGAAATATTTATAACATTTTCGATTTTAGACTAAAAATTTTCTAATGAATTTAAACCTTACAAAGATCTATATAATTTGTCATTAACTACACTCAGAGTTGCCACTAAGCGACTTAGTTTAGTAATTGTGGTAGTTAATATTTTTATAATCACTGTAAAATTAATATTAGAAATCACATATATTCGTTCATATCTTTAGTTTCAGCCCCTAATATAATTTCACCCACGCTATCTTTAAATTCATCCACATCTTGCATATCTTTTCCAGTCATTTCTATTATTTCTATCTCATTGTAATCGTCCAATTTAATTTTATCAATTCTAAAATTTGATTCGACATTATCATCAAGGCTGACTGTACATATTCTAGATGTTGATTTGGCTAGATCTCTTGATATAGGTATTTTAGATTCTTCCAGTCTATATATTTTTGTATCTATCAGTTTAGTTGATGACACTTTGACTGGAAAGATATCTTCATTTTCCTCTGGAGATAGCATAGAATCATAAGGGACTTGTAAACTATTCTGCAATACTTCGACTTCTTTGCGTCTTGCCTGTTTTCTTTCTAATTGCTTTTGTAGATCTTCTATTCTTTCATTCTTCAGTTTAACTAAACTGTCGAGATGTTCAACCTGTAATACATTTTCAATCATAAGTTTCACGTCTATTCGAGTGTCGACGTGTATTGTAGATGGATGGATGTTTGTTAGAAGTTATGTCCAGAACGGCTGTATGGATCTCGCTGAAATTTGGGATAGATGTAGAACATAGTCTGGAAGAACATATAGGCTACTAATTAAGTTAGTTATTTTTAATCCCGTGTGGATGGAGCCGCAGGCAGTTATATTTAAATCTAGTACCTTTTGTTTAAGAACATCTATGACTTCTTTGGCGTCTTTCAGTTCCTGTTTTTGTGTAAGATAGGACGCGTGACTGACGACTTTCTGTTGTATAGTCTCTAAGTATCCATTGACCCTCGTCTTCAGTGGTACGACCAGTACGTTCTCTGTAGAAAAAAAAATATTTTTTTATTTATTAAAGCAACCATTATCATCAACTTAAGTAATTGTTGGTAGGTCTTTTCCAATATCTTTCACATAACGCGGTTCTTCTGCTAGCTGTTGCCCACGACTTCGTCTGCCCGGAATTAAAAAAATAGTCTACGTGTTCTACCAGACTATGTTCTACATCTATGCTAAATTTCAGCGACATCTATACAGCCGTTCTGGAGATACTTTCTAACAAACATCCATCCATCTACAATACACGTCGACTCTCGAATAGACGTGAAACTTGTGTGCGAACGTTTAGATGGATGGATGTTTGAAGATATCCCCAAAATAGCTATTTGGCATACATATAGAACATAATTCGGAAGAACACATAGGCTACTAATTTTGTTTTTTATTAATTCCGCACGGACAGAGTCGCGGGCTAAAGATAGATTATATATCTATGAAAACAGTGATTAGGAAAATAATTGTGAATGGAATATTCCTTAGTTGTTGGATGAAAACATGTTCATTAAATAGAAACATACTATCATAGTAAAAACCATAAACAAGATAATCGTTGTAAAGATATTGGTAGCGGGCTTCATAATTATTATGTTACTCTATATATTTAAATTTCTAAACATTTCACCGGTGAGACGGAACATTAATTTTTCACCATTAACTTTTCCACTGATAAGATGCATTTCTAGCAGAATATTTCTTGAACAACGTTTGTTCTTATTTGAGATTTAAGATTTCGCTCGCACCAACAACGTAATTAATATTATAAATGCTAACATTTAGATGAATGGACGTTTGTTTGAAGGTATCTCCATAACGGCTCAACAGATCTTGATGAAATTTGGCACACATGTAGAACATAGTCTGTATAAACATTTATGCGACTTATTATGTATTTTTTAATTTTATACGGACGCAGTCGAGGGCGACAGCTAGTATTGTGAATACGAAAATTTAGATGGATGAATGTTTGTTATCTATCTCCAGAATGACTAAACAGATCTCACTAAAATTTGGCATACATGTAGAACATAGAACAAATAGGTGGTCGAAATTACGGGGACAGTTAGTATAAGTAAAAGTGGTAATTAAAAAAAAAACAACTACTTAGAAAAGAACACAGTGGAATGAACATTCACATATTTCAAAGTTGTACTCAAAGAAAAACAAAGTACTCTTCTATCATCCAGATTAAATTATATTAAGCAGGGACACAATTGTTTTTTTAAATAAAAAAAAAACTTTATTCTTCTCCAATTTAACATAAAATGTAAGAAATTTCACGTTCATTTGTTCGCACAATTACCTTAAAAGAGGTACAAACTTCAACAACAAAAAAACATACCGTCATCGCCGCAAGCCTCGTAGTAGCTCCCGCCGCTGGAAAGATTCTGTTCTGAATCTCTCATGCTTCTGTTCGCCTCTTCATCACGTCTGATCTTATCACGTACTGCGAAAAGAAATAATAAGGCCCTTCGTACAAAAGACAAGGAAACTAATATGGTACCATCAGGTGCAAGAAAAGTCGGCACACTAAAATAGCTTGCTAAATAGCTAAATAGTTGGAAACACGTACAGGTGGCAAGACTTTGGATCAAACAGGAAAGAGATAGTCAGATGGAAAAGATTGGAGCATGATAAATACAACTTAGAAAGAGACTTTTCTCCTTCTCTTTAGAGAGGACTTTTCTCTCTCTCTCTCTCTCTCTCTCTCTCTTTAGTGAGGACTTTTCTCGGATCTCAAGAAACAGTTTGCAAGCGTTAAATAAAGACGAAAATCTAAATTATTCTCGCAATATATGTATACTAAAAATCTAAGCCTTAATAATTCTTAATAGATATTAAATCTGTATAACACCTTTCTTTTAACTAACGCTTATGCTAATATTTAGGGGTCAAGAACGGCTACCTTTGACCTTGAAACATTATCAAAGCTCTAACATTTTCAAAAGTAAATAAGTGGAAAAAGAATAAACACGTCACACATCTGTCAAATCTATGTGCCATTGTTTTAACAGCAAAAAGTTAACAATACTATTTATTATATTTATTTAAGGAGATTGACATCATGAGACTAAAAACTCATCTGTTATTTAAGTGTAGTTTTATTGACGGTCACAAATACAAAAATAATGTCATCTCCCTTTTTTTAAAGACAATGAAAGAGACAAAAGTGACATATTTCTTACCCATTAGAAGCACCTTCTCAATAACTCCGGGTGTATTGTTGGCCAGTTGCTCCATTGTTGAAGTACAGAGGGTTAATTTTAATTTCTTCAAGACTTTTCTGTTTAAAGTCATCCAGTTGTTCAGTTTGAGAGCCTGACTGTTCCGTGGTGGGTAGTTGTGCATTTCAACCAGCTTTGGATAATGTACACCCAAAATTTCCGCGAGAAGCACTGAAATAAAAATAAAGTATTTTAAATGAACAGAATGCATTGAAGTGGAAATGATTCCGCGTTTCGTCAGATGTGCGAAGTGTGCTTTCCGGAGGTCTAATTTTAGTCCTCTTTACCTTCTCACACTTTTCGTATTTTTAGTCATTAGTTAGAATCTTGACGCGAATGGCACGCTTTCGTTACCAAGTCAAGTGTCAAAATGATTAGTGAGGGGACATAAAGCTACCTGCAACTCATTGTTGATAGAGTAGGATTGGACTGTCCAGTGCTGGCCATGTGGACACGTCTACATGTGCCCTGAAGAATTTTATGTTTTATTTTGTGTTTATATTTGTGCTAGTGTTTAAATTTGTATTTTTGTTTTGTATGGACCATGTGTCTGAATTAAAGATTTATTATTATTTTTATTATTATAAACGTTGACATTTTAATAAGGCTAGTGTTGCGCCGATACACCGGCACACTGTCGGATTTCCTTCCAAATAGTATACGGAAATGATGGGAAGGGAAAGTTTTGATGGAGGAAAGAAAATATTTACAATCCAAAAGGTAAAGAAAATTGTAAATTTATATATAACATATTATGACCTTTTACTCTTCTTAATAACGTACTTAGTTTTCTTAGAATAAGTATTAAAAAGTCACCCTTGACTTCTTATCTTCTTTCGATTCGGCTCAAGAAGGTGATGAAATTTTTAAAATCAGGTCTAATATATAAACGACAAAACAATCCCTGAAGCAAACCTTTTTAATTGGTCATATTTTTACCTTCGACTTTGTTAAAGTCTTGGGTAAATGGCCTCGTTATTGGCCACTTGTGTATTACGTTATACATTAAAATATTATAAAATATACCAGCATCAGAGAAATCCCTTGAAATTTTCTTCGTTTGTCTCGACAGTTTGTAGGTGTCAACCCAGGCGAGGACGGACTCGATGTCCGACAAAGGCACAGGTGATGAAAAACTTCCCATCATCTTTATGTAAGTGTTTATAATAAAATTAAAGCTTTAAAAAGTGTATATTGTATTAAGTTTACGAACGTTTTGACAAAATTAATTTATCCCTGATTTGACGTTATGTCATCCGAAAAGGTTTTTTAATTTTTTTAATTTTATTTACGACCAGCTTTTATCATTGCGATATTTTTATAAGTTTTTATTTAATCTTTGACATTCGACATATTGATTGCTTTATTCTTTACATCCACGTTTCTTACGCAACAGAGAAAGTCATATTAAAAACAAACTGTAAAGGAGCATGTAACCAAACAATAACACAACTCGGGTCCGTAATTCAACGGGATAAGAAGACACCACAGACGTGAATATGGCGCGAACCAGACACACTTTAGGGGTGAACATTATCTCTTAAAGTACCGCTATAATAAGTTTATTCCCCTAGGGTTGTCAACTTTAACACTTGTGTTATTTATATATAGTTTTCCGACTTCAAAAAGGAGGAGGTTATCAATTCGTCTGTATGTTCTTTTTTGTTGTCTCTGTTTTATCAAAGAGTATGAAAAGGATGGAGGAAAGCGTCTATGGCACAGTTCTTTATGCTTAAATAGAACGGAACAAAATAAATACATCCAGATTCGATTTCCATGTACTAATGTGTTTTATGATTTTCAAATTTCAAGTGTATCCGACGCCGTAGAGCTGGGCCTGTGGAAGCTATAAGCGATGGACTGGTAGGAGAAAGTGCAGGACAGGTGACTTTGGCAATCTCTTGTTTCGGTGGCCAAGACCTTCTTTGGATCTCAGCGCCAGCAAAGTAAGTATGCGTATCCGACGTTTTTACATTGAAGAAAAACATTCGGATGCAACCTGTATATATCTGGGCAGAAATTCAAAGATGTGTGAAGTCAACCTGCACTGGGTCAGCATTGACTATGGCCTAGTCACCTAACCTAGAGTAGTATCCGAGCCCCTCAGTGGGGACGTATAGTGAGCTGATGATGAAGAGATCTATAGGGGGATAACAGTTGTGGAGTTCAATTGCGATATAAAACTAGTGATGTGTGGCCAGGCCTTAACAATTTTCTAACGCAAAGGTCATAGAAAGCATCTTCGAATAATGTTCATGATATAACCAAGTGTTTCTACGATAAACACGTACGATGACATTGCGTTTTACATAGAACAGTAAAATAAGCAGTACAAATTGGTAAAACATCGTAAATAAAATAATGTCTGTACTGTTAGTAAGAAAAACCGAAAATGTGGCAGTGTATTATTATTCATTCTGACACTGGACTTTGTAATGAAAGCACGTCATTCGCGCCAAAGGATTCTAATTAATAATGTCTGAAAGTAATAATATTAACTACTCAATTGATTTGAAAAAAATCTTTTACTGTTGGGTAGCTAGTACTGTTGGGGTGACAAAATCTGTACTTAATACTAGATTTTTTAAAGTTCCGCGCTGACGAAGTCGCGAGTAACTGCTAGTTTACCATAAAATAAATGATATTTGAAACAATGCCGAGGTTAATATTTACTACATATTACGATATAGGATTTTAAAAATTTATGTTAAAGATTTGAAGAAATACGTGAAATATTAAAAAAAAATAATGACTACCATTTTAAAGTAATAACTACATTATACGACTTGGGGAATTTCAAGTAGCGAGCATACCATTTCCTTAAAGGCCGGAAACGCGTCTGCAGTTCCTCTGGTGTTGCAGATGTCCACGGGTGTCGTTGATCACCTCGGTGTTCCCGACGCTAATTTGCCCCCTTTTTTATAAAACAAAATATTAATAATTATAACAAAAATAAAATATTATTCTACTGTCACTTTTCTACGCTGTGGCAACGGTACATGGCAACATCGTAATGATATTATTTGATATAAAAGTAAACTTTCTATCAAAGACTAATAATATAAATGTGAATGTTTGGATGTATGAATGGATGGATGTTTGTGAGATAACTATAAAACGACTTCATGGATATCGCTGAAATTTGGCATAGTTTTTTTTTAGTTTAAAATATTAGCAGATTTTTTTGTAAATTTACTAATATTTCTTGTACCATTCCAACTAAGCTCTATGCTTGTGCTAGGATATGGTTTACGACAATAGTCGAATGGCGGGATACGAACCCCCGACCTCGTGATCGGAACCGTACCCTTAACCATTAGGCTATTGACGCTTTAAATATATGAAATAGATTTAGAACACAGTGTAACACATAGACTACTGATTAAGTTTTTTATTTCAATACCACGCGGACTGAGTCGCGTGATACAGCTACATTGCTAATATAAGAAATTGTCGCAAACAAAATTTCAATATCCTCTCTATATTATACTTTATCTTTGCTTTCTATATTGATTTGATCCTCTATAATTAAATTCTATTATCAAGTACAAGCTAAATAAAAAAACAAAAAAAGTTTAAAATGATGTCCTAAATTTTACCGAAGCGTGGTGATCCTACAAGTGCATTTGTAAGGAAGACATTAGATCAATGCAAGCAAAAAGGGTTAATACTTAACGACAAAACTAGGTTTTGCTTTGACTGAAGTTCAAACTATTGTACTAGGGTTGACACCTTTGCAATTTCTTTTTAATTAAATTTAAAAAAGTTTTACGATGAATGGCCTATTTGGTGAGGAATTAAGAAAAACTTACATACGAAAGTGATTTTTTTTTAATATTACTGTGTTTGCTTGATAAAATAAAACAATAATGAAATTTGTTTTTTTTTTTAATTTCGTTGGAAAGAATACAACAGTAAAATAGGTACAGCCAACCTATAAAAAAACTAATAGTAATGAGAACATTCGGTTTAAAAGATTGGTATCAAAATTGAAACTCTAGGCTACTAAGGGTTAAGTAAACTATGTGATCTTCCAGACTATGTTCTAAATGTATCAAATTTCATTGCGATCCATGCAGTCGTTCTGAAGATACCTTCTAACAAACATACAAACATTTGCATTTATAATATTAGTAAGAAGTAAGT